CCTTTGTTAGAGTTAGTTGCCGAGGTCTCCATGGCTGCCCTCCCCGGCCCCGGCCTCAGACGGTAGCCACGGTCCCGATACACCATCATCGCATGCAGGTCCGATTTACGCGGATGCAGTGGCGGTCGAGATCGATCTGGAGGCGGACGACGAACCCCAAATGACGCTCCTGCCTTAGACCGGGTTCCCTTTTTTTTTTCCGGCTGATGGTGTCTCGTGGCGGGTTCGTGCCAGGTATCCTTCGTGGTGGAAATGCAAGCACGCCGCAAAGGCGCAGCGCTCAGCGTAAGCGATCGGCCAGTGACCCGGTTGGCAGGTTGTCGACTGGGAGAGGCTGCTACTGTCCACCATTGACGCAGGCCAGCCTGACTGACACCAAATCCTCGTTCCAGCACTTTCATGCCAGGCGAGTACGTGTACACCGTCTACGAGAAGGCAGGTAATCGGCAGTACTGCTCGATAGACCTTTACTTACTTCAGGCCGCCGAGCGCCCCACCCACAATCAGTGGGAGCGAGCCGTCAACCTCGTCATGAGACACCGCCTAAGGCTAGGTACGGACGGTCTTTTCTTGTTACTTCGTTTTGACCGCGACTGGCAGGACGTTAGAGTGGTGGGCGGACGTTTTACAGATGGACGTGCAGGGGCCCTAGTAGTGCAACTTTTCGTTTGCGTTCCAACCGTCCTCACTTGATCAGACGCCGCCTCACCAAACTGGGGTCCGAGCATTTGCTCCTCCAGTGGATGCGCAAACCCTCCGCGGCAAGTCCGGCGCTCGGAGTGCTTCAGCGGCAGCATGCGCTGCAGAAGACCCGCCCGTCAGGACGACGACTCCAGTGAGGACCAGAGGCACCGGCAGATCTTCCAGCAAAAGAAGGGAGCTCTCGAATGGTTGCATGATTCTTGCATAGATTCGCGGATTTGTTTTGGAATAATCTCCTGTGACAGTCATGGCCGATTGGTTGATAAACCATGCTGCCGTTCTTGAGCCGAATCATAATTAAACCTTAACTAAAGTCAGGAGCTCTTAGGAGCCTTCACCACAAAGTGGGTTTTGGAGCTCGGCCTCGGGTTGGGGTCTTCGTGATCTCTCAAAGCCGGGCCGGGGGTATTGAGGCCCATTTTGTGATAATATAGGGGCCGTAATAGTTAGAGTAGGGT